ACACTTGCTCATGAGCAAGATCTGGCTCTGCTTTGGATTGGCAAAGAACAGACACCCTCCCCAGGTTAAAGGCCTACCCAACCTACTGAGCTGCCTCAGCTGCAGCGCAGTCAAAGGGACAAGTTCCCAGGTGGGCTGTGCTTAGCCAATGGGATGAAGATGTATATGGGGATGTGGGTAGCTGACCTAGTATAATAATCTCTATACCATTATAATTTTTCTAAATCTATTATTATGGAAATAATAATAGTCATGGGAAAATAGCAATAAGACGTAAGCAAGTTAAATACATGATTTTTCAATGTTATTACAATGTATCTCACTATAAAAAAAAATCTCAAGCAATCATGCCAGCGGTTTATGAACAGGGATCTTTTGAGTGCAGGAAGGCCCAATATGCTTTGTATTGTTCAGTTAAAAAATGAAAAAGAAATGGTGCAGACAAATGTTTATAGTATGTTAAAAAGAGAGAAAACATTTTTTCCATGATATAAAAATATTTCTGGATGACTTCACAAGAAATTGGTAACATTAGCCATGGCGGAAGGGAACTGAGTGGCTGGGAGAGAGAAGAGGATTTTTCCTCATTAAACCTTATGAACCTTTTAAATTTGGACTGTGTAAGTATATTATGATTCAAAAATAATGAATATTTTCTAAATAAATAAAATAATGAGCTTTTATTATCCTCGCGTACAGAGAAAAATCAAACCTGAAGTCTCTGGGAACTAAGTAGCGCCCTGGGGAGGAAAGGCTGCAGCAGCACCTGGAGCGTCCTCAGAGACTCATTCCCTCGGTCCCGCCTCCCTGGCAGAGGCAGCTTGAAGGAATCACAAACTGCAGGGATCAGCAGGAGGACGACACTGGACAAAGCTCTCCTGCCTGACATCAGCCGCTGTCTAGAGCTAGCGCCCGGGAAAGTACAACTCACCCTCCTGGGGTCACATCTTTGCTGGAAGGCAGGTGAGAATTCACATGTGGGACACCAAATACCCCGCTCTCCTAGTCCTCCTGGATTGCACGCCTCTGGTCTTTGGCCGCAGTGTCTGATTTGGGAGAAGAGAATGTTGAACATTCGAGTTGTTGTTCAGTCCGAGTCTGAACTCTCATTTGACTTGGAAGACTTACGCTTTTGTTTCTTCTTCTTCTTCTTTTCCTTCTTCCTTTTCTTATGCTTTTCTTTCTTCTTCTTTTTCTTGTGTTTCTCTTTACTTGCTGAGGAACTGGAGCTGCTCCCATCCTCATCAGAGGTAGAATCCTCTAGTAACTGTTTCAACTGCTGTATCCTACGCATAGAAGATTAACCAAAGAACATATTTAACTCAAAAAAAAAAAAAAGGTAGATAAAAATTATATAAGGGCAGCAGTGAAGGTAAAAAACATCATGAATAACCACCTTACTAAGATAGTATGTTTATTTTTCCCCATTCTTATCCATGTTTTCCCCATTCTTGTCCACACTGGTGCCTCTTTGACAGGACTGTACCCAGTGTATAAGACATTCTGTATTTTTTTCACTGTCCTAAATATTTCTGCATGTTTTTCCAGTCCTTGCTACATAACTTTCAACAGATGCTTCCTGGGGCACCTGGGTGGCTCAGCTGGGTTAAAGCCTCTGCCTTCGGCTCGGGTCATGATCTCGGGGTCCTGGGATCAAGTCCGGCATCGGGCTCTCTTCTCGGCAGGGATCCTGCTTCCTCCTCTCTCTCTGCCTGCCTCTCTGCCTACTTGTGATCTCTGTCTGTCAAATAAATAAATAAAATCTTAAAAAAAAAAAAGAAATTTTAAAACAAACAAACAGATGCTTCCCTTACTTCATCAGCACCCCCCAACCACCCACAACCACTCAAGTTGGCCACTTGATAATCTAGATAATCTATCTTTTTAACAATCAGAACTCCATGTAACCAGTTGGAGAAAATCAAACCCTCCACTTTCTTCATCCTATCTCTATTCAGGTCTAAGGGTAATTTTTAAGAATAGCTCAGCTCCGTAAAGACACTGGAGAAGATAAACTAAGTTACAACTGTCAACATCAACTATCAGGTGTGAGCAGGCAGGACCAAGCCCACAGCTTTAAGCTAAACCAAGTGGAATGAGGCTGGCCTTTTCTGTGATGACTCCTGCCTTCCAAATAGTTGACAACTGAAGGGGCGCCTGGGTGGCTCAGTGGGTTAAAGCCTCTGCCTTCGGCTCAGGTCAATATCCCAGGGTCCTGGGATCGAGCCCCGCATCAGGCTCTCTGTTCGGCAGGGAGCCTGTTTCCTCCTCTCTCTCTCTCTGCCTGCCTCTCTGCCTACTTGTGATCTCTGTCTGTCAAATAAATAAATAAAATCTTAAAACAAACAAACAAACAAAAACCAAATAGTTGACAACTGAAGTACCATAGTCACCAAAACACTCATCTAATACTGGAACTGGTGTTTTCAACTTTATATAATTTCAGACTTTAAGGGGGTATTGTTAGCACCAGGGCCATCTCATCTTACATCCTTTTCATGTCTTTTATTCTCTTGTATGATATCATACATGTGATCTTCATGTGCCTTGAGGATGAGAAAAGGTTAAGGTTGCGTTAGGCTCCGTGGATTATTAGTTAAATAAAAATTAAATCCATATTTGACTGAAACCAGTTTTTTTTTCCTATTTGGTATAATTTTATATTTAACATGTTCTAATCCTTTCTAAGGGTTATTATCACTGCAAACCTGCTGAGGGCTGTGACAAAGGACTTTCTAATTAGAAAAATATAGATTATAATTGAAATATCCTTTATAAGAACATAAAGAACATAAGAACATACTTCTCCCTCTCTCACTCACCCGCTTGTATTCTCTCTCTTGCTGTCTCTCTCTGTCAAATAAATAAATGAAATCTTTAAAAAAAACAAACAAACAAGTGGGACACCTGGGTGGCTCAGCTGGTTAAATGTCCAACTCTAAATCTTAAAAAAAAACAAAAACAAAAACAAAAACAACTCAGCTTGGGTATTGATCTGGAGGTTGTGAGTTCAAGCCCTGCAAGACAAACTAAAACCTATTGGGGCATTTGGGTGGCTCAGTCAGTTGGTTTCTGCTCAGGTCATGATCTCATGGGTTATGAGACTGAACCCCACATTGGGCTCCACACTCAGCAGGGAGTATGTGTGAAAATTCTCCCCTCTGTCCCTCCCCCAACTTGTGTGCACATGTACACACACTCTCTCTCTAAGTAAATAATCTTTTAAAAAGACCCTATTACCTCCTTTCCTGGGGAGGTACTATTAACATTTGATCTCTTTCTTTCAATCATTATTAGTAATTTATGAAAAACTATAATCCTCTTATATACACAACTCTATTGTTTTTCACTTATGTCTTCGTGAATATTTTCCCATGACATTACGTCTTTTTTTTAAAAGATTTTATTTATTTATTTGAGAGTGAGAGAGAGAGCACAAGCAGGGTGGAGGGAGAAGCAGACTCCCCAGTGAGCAGGGAGCTAGATGTGGGGCTAGATTCCAGGACCCTGGGATCATACCTGAGCTGAAGGCAGATGCTTAACCAACTGAGCCACCCAGGTGCCTGACATTATGTCCTCTAAAACATAATTCCTGGGGTACCTGGCTGGCTCAGTGAGTAAAGTATGCAACTCTTGATTTCAGGGTTGTGAGTTCCAGCCCCTGGCTGGGTATAGAGATTACTTAAAAATAAAATCTCAAAATATGTAAATAATAATTTCTAATGACTAAATAATCTGCATTTACAGAAATTTATGTTGATATGTTGGGCTATTAAATTTACCATTTTTCTTTTGTTTCCATTGTTTTAATCATAAATTATAAGAATTATCCTTATATATATATATCCTTATTCATAAGCAGTTGTGTACATATTGATTTTCTCTTATATCCTTAAATACCTTAAATGGGATTTCTGAGCCAAAAAAATAAAAACGATTATCTTCAAAGTTTTTGAGATTTATCACCAAACTGCATTTTACATAGTATCTGTAAAAACTGACATTCCACCTAGGTTATTAAATAATTTCAGATTATTAAATAATTATTAAATAATTGATATTAAATAATTTCAGATAATTAAAGCCATAATGTTTTAAATGTCTTTTTTCAAAAAGAGTTTATTTATTTGAGAAAGAGAGAGAGAGCATGAGCAGGGGGAGGGGCAGAAGGAAAGGGAGAAGCTGACTCTCCGCTGGGCAGGGAGACTGATGTGAGCCTCAATCCCAGGACCCTGGGATCACGATCTGAGCTGAAGGCAGATGCTTAACCAACTGAGCCACCCGGTTGCCCCACAATGTTTTTTTTTTAAAGATTTTATTTGTGTATTTGACAGAGATCACAAGGAGGCAGAGAGGCAGGCAGAGAGGGGGAGGACACCGAGCAGAGAGCCTGATGCAGGGCTCGATCCCAGGACCACGACCCGAGTAGAAGGCAGAGGCTTTAAACTACTGAGCCACCCAGGCACCCCTGCCCTACAATGTTTTAAATGTCTTAAAAACTTTAGTGAATGTTGGCCCCAGTTTGATATATGCTGATAATCTCAGTACACTTAGACATTATTAAATAAAGGGAATGATATACTATTTTACTGTCAACTGAAGAGCATATACAATTTATATAACACTTCTAGCTTATAATTTATTTATTTATTTAAATTTAATTTAATTTATTTATTTGACAGAGATCACAAGCAGGCAGAGAGAGAGAGGGAAGCAGGCTTGCTGCTGAGCAGAGAGCCCGATGCAGGGCTCGATCCCAGGACCCTGAGATCATGACTGGAGCTGAAGGCAGAGGCTCAACCCACTGAGCCATCCAGGTGCCCTTCTAGCTTATAATTTAAAGACATCTAGTCTTTAAAGACTGGGAAACTAAAACCCTCATGAAAACTCATGAAACATGAGTTTTTATATAAGTTAAAACAAGTGATTGAATAATTAACAAAGTCTGCTTTAGAAAAAGAATCATTCCCAAGGTATAAAAAAGTAACACTTTAATAGAAAGTTAGTTTTTTATTAACTGTCACACAAATGTAATTTAATAACAGATGTAGTCAACACCAGATACTCTGGTGAAAAAGCTTCTGCGAATGTATTTTACGTGAACTTCCAGTTCACTGATTACTGCCTGTTTCATTAATATCCATTATTTCTGAAAAATGTAAATTGACAAGGTGGTGTTCTACTTACTACGCTGACTGTTCTAACTTCTGGTTGCCTTTGATAAAAAAAGGGCATTCTTTGTTGCCTGTTCAGTGACCATACCGTTTACACCGCCAACCTAAAAACAAAGGAAAGGGGCGCCTGGGTGGCTCAGTGGGTTAAACCTCTACCTTCGGCTCAGGTCATGATCTCAGGGTCCTGGGATCGAGCCCCGCATTGGGCTCTCTGCTCAGCAGGGAGCCTGCTTCCTCCTCTCTCTCCCTGCCTCTCTGCTACTTGTGATCTCTGTCAAATAAATTAAAAAAAAAAAATCTTAAAAAATAAAAACAAAGGAAAAAGGGAAATATGTCTGTAAGATAACAATTTCATTTAATGAAGATGAAGAATCAGTAGATCATCTTAAAGTTTTTCTTCATTAAACTCCAATTCTAAAAGCAAATGCAATGAGTGGATAAACCATGTAAGATCCTAGGAAATAAAAGGAAACTAACTGCTTCCCCAAACAATCTTTATTCATGCAGCTTTAGGAATAAATATCACTTCACCAGATAGGTATTAAGTAATCCAGTGTAAAAGTACTATAGAGTGAAATTGTTTTTAAGCTGTAGCTTATAGTATTTTTCAAAGGGGAGGTCTCTTCTATTCATCAAGAGACTCTGATTCTCATTTACAATTTTAGACACTAGAGCAAATAGCTTCTTTCTCTGATTGAGTAAATAACTACAAAAAAATCCCTCACCTTTAATTAAAACAAATCAGAAATTATCTTACAATGTTAATTCCATTAGCACTCTAATATAGCCTCACCTGCTGAATAGGTGAACCTATCCTTTGTAAAAAGGTTTATTATTGGGACGCCTGGGTGGCTCAGTTGGTTAAGCGGCTGCCTTCGGCTCAGGTCATGATCCCAGCGTCCTGGGATCGAGTCCCACATTGGGCTCCTTGCTCAGTGGGGAGCCTGCTTCTCCCTCTGCCTCTGCCTGCCACTCTGCCTGTGCTCGTGCTCTCTCTCTCTAACAAATTAAATAAAATCTTTAAAAAAAAGAAAAAATCTATTTCTTAAAAAAAAAAAAAAAGGTTTATTATTAGAAGAAGACGGCCCTGATGAGGAACTGGGAGGAGGCATAATAAGAAAATGCACACACACATTCCTGGGCAAAAGAGGGAAAAGCACACTTTCATGGAATTTCAGTGACTACAGACTTGGCATCAGGCATTGATGTGGGAAAAATGAAGGGGTGAACAAATCAGGAATGGGTGAGATCCTTGTTACTTTCCTCACCTGTTTTCATCCTCTCAAAACTATCTGGATTTGAGGCAATCAGGAAGTCATATGAGTGGTGAGCTAAGTGAGACCCTGTTTTTGGACATTAAGGAACTCCAACCAAGGAAGTCAGGAAGCAGGAAGCAGGAGTAAGATCAGCCAGGTTTGCTCCGTGCTGACAAGTACTCAAAGTATGAAGTGAAAGAGAAGGGATGTTCCCTTTTAAATTTGAGGGCTGGATGCAGGAAACCATTAAAAAAGAATGAAATCTGGAGATTCTTTGTTGATTGCCTCTGAGCTATCCCTGTCTTTAACTCCCCAGACATTTAAAGTTCAGGAAAGAAGGATTATGCTCCTTCAAACCAAAATTCTTGGTGTTCAAAATTCTGTTACTGTTAAAGGAAAGGTGATTCTTGTTATTCAAAATGCAGTCATGGGCAAGCAAAATCAGCAACACACGGGAGACTGTTAGAAATGCATAGTGTTAGACCCATCACAGAAATGCGGAAACACACAAGAATTTTAAGATTAGTTGGTGGTTCATAGACATATTAAAGTTTGAGAACCACTGTTCTAGATAACACCACAATCAGTAAAATCAATGAAAGGATGTACATGTATGTGTGTCTTTTATCCTATTTGGGATGAGTCAAAATTTTGTGGTGCCTGAGTTTAAATTATGGTGGGGGTTCTTTAGGAAAAAAAAATATCTTGCCTTGGCAAATTTCACAAAATTATATGACCATATCAACACATCATTATGTCCCCTTCAGGCCCTTGAAAATCAGAAGTGAGTAAAACTGGCTCTGGTCCCAATCCAGACATTTATTTTCCAAGTCAATGCAAATAACGATAAAATGGTAATTGAAATGGAGGCACGTGAGTGGTATAGTCTGTTAACCATCCGACTCTTGGTTTTGGCTCAGGTCATGAGCTCATGTATTGTAAGATCAAGCCCTGGGTAGGGCTCCAGGCTAGCAGGTAGTCTGCTTCAAGATTTTCTCCTTCTGCCCCTCTCTTCTCCCACTTAACCATGCTCATTCCCATTCTCTAAAATAAATAATGTAAATAACCACCTCATAAAACAGAGCAGTGGTTTTCAAACTTAAAAAAAAAAAAAAAACCAAAAACCACAAACCTGTAGATTTCCAAGTAAAGATGACAAACTAAACACATTTTTACTTGCTTTCATTCTCTTCCTGACATCCCATAAAAATGACAATGAAGAGGATTCTTTTCAAAAGGAACATGCCAGGAAGCACTTCAAGAATGCCCAAGTGACAACCTCCATAAAAGCACTGGAAATAGCTGTAAACTTGCCCAAATCAACTTATTTGAAACTCTAGAAATTAACCAATGGTTTGCCATAATCTGAGGAGCATTCATTCAAGAAAAGCTAGTGAAGTTTGGTAAGAACAGCAGGATTTCTGGCATTTTAACCAGACCTACTCCCAGCCCTCTCTCCCGATCTCCATAATAATCTTAAAAACCAACAGCCTTGCAACCATGACAGCTATGAAAAGCAAGAGTCCTGAACCCTCAAGGGGGTAAGACCAGGTTACGAGCCCCCCAAAAAACCCTAATCCCAGAGCATAGAGCCACACTGTCAGCATGTTGTTGCTATGTAACCAGTCATACAGCTTTTCCTAAAGCCCAATCCCTCAGGATATTTGTTGAAAACAACCACCTGCAATTGTTTAACATCACAGTTACCAATTGCTGTGATATCATTTGATAAACAGGAACCCAGCTAAAAATGTAAAAGATCTGGGGAGTGGGATGTCCATAGAAGGCTTTCAAAAATTCTGACACAATCCTGGGAAGCTAGAAGGCTGTGCCCATGTGCCAACATCTGTTACATTCTGTTTTTTTGATTAGTACCCATCCTAATGGGTGCGAGGTGATATTTCACTGTAGATTTGATTTGCATTTCCTTAATGATTACTGATACTGAGAATTGTTTCATGAGCTTACTGGATATCTATATACCTTCTTTAGAGAAATGTCTATTCAAGTCCTTTACCAAATTTTAATCAGATTGTCTCTTCATTATTTTTAGGAGTTCTCTATATATTATAGATACAATCCTTTATCAGATATGATTTGCAAATATTTTCTCCAATTCTGAAAGCTGCCTTTTTACTCTATTGATAATGTTTTTTTTTTCACAAAATTTTGAAGTCAAATTTGTCCCTTTTTTTCGTTGTTGCTTGTACCTTTGGTGTTTGATCCAAGAAATCACTGCCAAATCCAATTTTGTACAGCTTTGCCCTATGTTTTCTTCTAAGAGACTTTATAGTTTTAGGTCTTACACTTGTCTTTGATCCACTTAAGGTTAAATTTTGTATATGGCATTAGATAAGGGTCCAACTCATTCTTTTTTTTTTTTTTTTAAAGATTTTATTTATTTATTTGTCAGAGACAGAGGGAGAGAGAGCGAGCGAGCACAGGCAGACAGAGGCAGAGGGAGAAGCAGGCTCCCTGCCGAGCAAGGAGCCCGATGTGGGACTCGATCCCAGGACACTGGGATCATGACCTGAGCCGAAGGCAGCCGCTTAACCAACTGAGCCACCCAGGCGTCCCCCAACTCATTCTTTTGCATGGGAATAACTGTTCTTTTTTTTTTTTTTTTTTTTTTTTTTTTAAGAAAGACTGTTCTTTCCCCATTTAATGGTCTTGGCTCCAACATAACAAGAGATCATAACAAAAAAGATGACTCAACATACAGGAAAAAGAAGATTCAACAGAGGAAATAAGCTAAGGGAAACTGCAGAATGATGGTGTCTTAGTTCGGGGTCCCCCTAACAAAATATAGACTGGGTCACTTACACAATTGGAATTTATTTTCTCACAGTGCTGGACACTGGAAATCTACAATTTGGATGCCAACAAGGTTGTTTTCTGATGATTACTCTACTGACTTGTAGACAGCTGTGTCCTCTCATAGCATGTCCACACACTGGAGATAGCAAGCTCTCTGTTCTCTTCTTAAGAGGAACTAATCACATCATCAGAGCCATCCTCATCACTTCATCTAATCCTAATACTACCCAAAGACCCCATCTCCAAATACCATCCCACTGGGGATTAGGGCTTCAACAAATGAATTTGTAGAGGGATGCAAACATTCTATTCAAAACCCAAAGTGAAGGGAGATCTCTGGATGACAAGCATGGAAGCAACCATTGTCAGAGGATGAAATTAATAGAATGCCTTAAGCATGTGAAGGTCTTAAGATTGAACCTTTAGAACAATTTGAGTAAAAATCAGTACATGGAAGCCAAAAACAATAACAGAATAAAACAAAACGCACACATGCACACACAAATACCAAAAAACAAGACAACCATTAATCCAGGGGAAAGGAGGGAAGTCTTCAGGATGCATGACATGAAAAGTAATCAGTTTACTATATGATTCAGCTCTGGATATTATCATAATGAAATAAATATCAAAGACTTATCTAACCAAAATTATGAAAAAACCATTTTGGGGAAGATGTGATATAATAAGGGTAGATGTGTGTGGTAGGACCAGGAGAGAGCTAAATTCTCATCTTCCATTGTACAATGTCAACAAATAACACCTAAACCTGAAAAATCAATACATATGTGAACTTAGACATAAGATAAATATCAAAATAACCAAGTAAAAAAATTTATAAATGGAAATGGAGAAAAAGAGACTGGAAACTATTTTAATTATGTGTATGAAAAATCTTTGGACAAACAAATGTCTTTAAGGCAGCAGTACCCTTTCTTCAAATACCATCTTATGCTAGATGAAAAGTGTTGTGGCCCTGGTAGGGTGAGGGTATGCATGAACAACACACTGTTGTGGACCTAACCTCTGGGGCCCACAGCTCCTCTCAAGTTACATGGATGAAACCTTAACACTGACTTTGATGCGGGAGTGTGGTGGTGAATGATGATGCAAGACCCAAAGGGACCTGCCTTCCAATACATCCCTTGTCCTTCCTGGCATTTCTACAATGGAATATCCTTTTTGTTACTGGAGTATTGCCGAAGAGTGAACTCCAAAGGCAGCTATGGTCCTGTGGGCGACCACTGCCCTTGGAGTCAGAAGCCCTGGAGTTAAAGCTGTCCTCTACCTCTTACCTCAGACTACTAACACATATGCAGATCGGCTTCCTTAACTATAAAACAGAGATTATGCCTTGACTTAACAGGGCTGTGGTGACAACAAATTAAATAACAACAACAAAAAAGTAAACACATTTTGTAAATCATGGTGTATAACTTGCGTGTATGGAGGAGTGTTACTTGCAACTCCTGTGCTCACACTGTATAACTTTGACTTCTTTCCCCAGTGGCATCCAAAGTCCTTTCATTGGTGCGTGAGCCAGAAATTCCCTGGCATGTTCGTTGCCTGGTACATCTGGTATACAGTCTTCCGGCTTAGTCTCATCTTCCTAAAAAAGGAAACAGTGTGTACACAACATGGCAAAAAAGCCCAGGAATTCTCTCCTACCTGCTTCAGAACACAGCACTGCCTGGCTTTCTCATGGGCTGGACATGCCCATGACATCCTAAGTCACCCTCTCAAGTTCTAGAAAGAAAGACGAATTATATCTGACAGAAAAAACCAGAAGAACTATATCATGAAAATAATTAAAAATTATATTACTAGTATCGTTCACTTAAGAATGATTTGTGAGCTCCAAATCTTGATTCTAGATCACAAAAATTAGATTCAGATCACAAACTTTTCTGCTACCTTAAAGGCCTTGTGGAATGAAGCAAAGTATAGAATTAAACAAGATTTTCTGAAATAATAAAATAACATGTTAAACTAAAAATAATTATTATCCCTTGGAAACCACTGTTACATTTTACAATCTCATACCTGCTGTATATGAAGTGTGTTTTACCACCAAGTAACTTCGTTACACAATTAAGGTGCTTTTTTTTAAACCATCTGATTGTTTTCAGTTCCCATGAATATTAAATTTATAATGGAAGAAGGTTTTGTAACAATCTTTTCTTTTCACTGAACGTGAGCAAGCAGAAAGCTGTTCTGGCCTCCACCAAGCCCTCTAGGTCTCCCTCCTGCAGAGAGACTGGACTCTAGGGCCAGGTGCTGCCAGGGGTGGAGGTGGGTAGGGGGGTGTCCTGTACCAGGGGCCGGACCAGAAGACCTTCCAGTTTCCCCAGAGACTACTTTCTCTGAGCTAATGATACTCAGGAAACCAGCAGCAAGTCAGAGAAGGAGCAAAGCTGTGAGAAGATGCAGCCACAGTGAGAGAGAGGGAGGGAGAAGGGGACTGATTGCAAGAAACATGTGGGCTTGCCACCGTTTCTTAGGGAACAGGCACATGGCTGATTACATTTCTACAAAGGCACAGGCTGGACACAGAAAGCCCAAAGTGTATGAACCGACTGGCATCTGCAGGAAGAAGCAGGGTTCCATAAAAGGACGTTCAAAATCACATGCAACAGGTTTTCATAACAAGTTACTGAGCCTGAGCACTGAGTCAAATATGTCTAAGAGGATGACCAAAGGCACAAACTTCACACTGACCTTGATAAGCCCAGGAGGAGGTTTTTCATAACTAGAAATGAAAAGAAAAAAAATCATCAATCATGTTAACAGGAATGTAACACATTTTAGTGAGCAAAAAGCAACTGTAGGCCAAAATAAAAAGGATATTTTTAGTAAAACCTTAAAAGTACATTAAATCGAAAGCAGTTAATAAAATATGCCCAGCAGTCAGAGATCCCATATATATAAACTGATGCTACGCCACGTCCTGCAGAGATCCAGAGCTGAAATTCACTGAGGGAATAACTAGGTGTCAGAGCACAGTGACTTTATTGTTCAAGAGAAAGCAAGAGAGGGGGAATGTCAAAGAAGACCTGTGAGCTAATCATGGTTCCAAACTGTCACAGCTGTCAGATTATTTACCTAGCATAACATCCACTTACTCAACACTGAAGAGGCGCATGGGGGAGGAGGTTGAGAAGTCTTTTCTAACTTGATTGGGGGCAGCATGAGCGGGGGAGGCAGGAGGGCCTGTTGGAAGGGAAGGAAATGGAATTGATCTGTCCTAGAGGCTTCCTCTCCCATTTCCCTGCAGATCCTGGTTCAAATCCTGCCCACCACCCTGCTTGCAGAGCGAGCCATCTGCTCCTCAGCTCTCTGACAGCCTCTCTGGACCCAGAGTCCAGGACCCTTGCCCGGTGCCTGATGACAGGCAGCATTCCGCAAGAATGCTGCTAGAGTAAGCAGGGAATGGACTTTTCCTTTGAGCTCTCTGACCACCCCCGCCAAGGGAACATATACAACATGCCTATGCAACCAATTCATTTTCACTTCCCATTACTCAGCCGGAATTGCCCCAAAAGGCTTCTGGACTCCAAATCTGGATAATTAGTACCAAATGCTCATGTTCACTTTTCAGTGCTGACCCACTTCTAGCTAGAACATACACCACGTGGGTGTTTATTTGGCTTTTAACTGTGAATGCCTATGGGACCATGAAGGAAAATAAGAATGAAAAAAAGAAACGTGATAACCAAACATCCTGGGTCCATTTAGCACCCCCACAAAGAACATTTTACTGAGGACATCTGGGCATAGCAGCTGGCTTAAAATTGTGAAAAGATTCTAGAAACTTGGAAATGTGAGAGATTCAACATTGCTGCACCCAGATGGTGAAGCAAGGGTGAGTAATTAGGTGTTCTATAATGAACAGATTTACATTTATGAACAGATACACATCAATAAATCTTTAAAAAGTGAATTATATATTGACATGGGGCAAGCTCCATAACAGTTTAAATTAAAAAAAAAAAAAAAGGTGGGGGGAGGAGACATGGAACAAAACAATGTATTTGGTAAGCTTCTATTTGTGTGCATGGGAAGAAAGAGACTATATATGGCCACACAGATACATACCTTTTAGGTACCTCTAAAGGATAGCAAAGAAACTAATTACATGCTTGCCCCTAGAGACAGGAACTAAGGATAATAAATCGAAGAGATCTTTGTTTTTCATTCTATTCAAATCTACATGCATTAACCTGCAAAATGCTTTTTAATTGCAAAAGAAAATGAAATCAGTGGTAACTACATTACAGCTCTGTCGGTATAAACACAGGTTAATATATTTCTGAAAGAAAAACCAAGGTAACTTGGGACTAAGAAAGAAAAATGGAGCCAAAAATATGCTATTAGGAGTTCATATCTGCTATAGAAGTTATATATGCTAGATTTCTGTTTTAATAATCAATGCTATTTCTGTAATAGTTTGAGGAATATAACCTCCATTCTAGCCCTAACTAACTTGATATTTTCCTACTAGAAAAAAGGAGCAGGTACAATAGGCAAAACTAAATTTGATATTCAGGTAGTATTAAAGATTCTATATAAAAACTTACTCCTTGTAGAAGTAATCAAATATTGTGCTAGGCATGTTGTTAGGTACTAGAAGGGAGAACTAAGGGCATAAGGATATAACTAGTTAAATCCAAAAAACATATAAAATGAAAACTGCTCTCAGGATACCTGGGTGGCTCAGTTGGTTAGGCATCTGCCTTCAACTCAGATCATGATCCCAGGGTCCTTGCTCAGCGGGGGCCCTGCTTCTTTTTCTGCCTGCTACCCCCCCTGCTTGTGCATGTACACACACACTCTCTCTCTGACAAATAAAATAAAATAAAATAAAATAAAATAAAATAAAACTGCTCTCAGAAATGATAATACATCTTTATAATTGTCCTGATACAAGGAAATATTCTTACTTCTTGGAGTAGGTAGAATTCTAGCAGGAGAATTTTTCAGTTTTAAATCAGTGTTAATGTGAATCCTGCAGAAGGAAAGTGAGGCAGGGTAGAAACCTCATGGGCTTTGGAGGTAAAAACCTTTAGATTGAATTACGATTCATTCTCATTGTGTACTTTCGGCAATTGACTTATCCCACACACTTCACAATGCTGGCTTCAGTCCTTTGTTGAAGACAAGGCCATGCTCTCAAGAACCTTATGAGGCACCTCTAGACTGGAGCACTAGCATCACAGAGGCCAAGATCTGGGGCAACAGAGGTGGAAGAAAACAACTTGGCAGGGAGTAAATGACAAATGCCATGAGTCTCTAATCTGGAGTTTTTCTGAGCAGAGGAGGATCTGCCCCATGAAGATTACATAGTAAACAACTAGGCATGAATAGATTTAGCTTAGCTTCTTAGGTGTGGTACAGTGATTTCCCAAAGCAAATGCTTAAAACATTTTCCAACACAACATGGTGGCATAATCTAGGAGAACAATGGAAATCTGCACAAATTGGAGAAATGATATAGTTCATCTGCAGCAATTCCTTTAAAATACTGATGCCATGGCTTATACACAGAGACCAAAGGGAGTTTGGTAGTAGTCTATGAATCCAATAATCAAGTAATACATCCTATGAAATCAGTGAGTTGTACAGGAGTTGTACAAAACAACATATGGCCAAATAAATGGAAATCCAAATTCCTGAAAAATATGTAATTGTTATTGCCAAGATGAAAAGGAGTGTGATGGAACTACACATTGTGAAATCTTTAGCAATCACATTCCCTAAAAAATCCCATTTACAACTGTTCTCACAAATATAAAGGAAGGTAGTTGATGGCTCAAGGGTCACGCTGAAAAGAGCAGGCCAGCCTCCAACAGTGCAATGCATTTTGTGTCAAAGCTCCCAGGTTAATTATAAAGAATCTGAGTCCTTTGAGGACTTTTCCTTACATCATCATCTTAGTTTAAGTAATGCAAGTGCCTGAAATAGAATCGAAGTATGTATGGAAGAACTCCGTGAGCACCAATCTTACAAGTCGGCCCGCTAACTACAGAAAGACAGAATCACAGAAAAGAACTGGAAGGTCATGAATCCACCTCCCACCTGAGGTTTCAGTCTCCTTTACAACCCGCCCTCCTCCCGCGGCTTCCAGACTCTCTCCCGGATCCCGCTGGAGCTGGGGGCGCACCGCGCCCCTTTCAGTCAGGCCATGCTGACCAGCAACCCCAGGAGACTCTCGTCCTAATTCTTTTGGCTGAGCTGGAATTGGCCTCTTTGTAGCCCCCACCCTTCTTGCTGGTAAAAGCCCTCAGCGCTAAAGAGAACAAGTCTCCACTCTTCCATCTTTGGGATCTTTAGGGACAGGTCCGTCACCCCATTCTCCAGCCCTTCCCTCCCCACCGCACTAACGGTAGAGGACGGCGTGTTCTCTTCCCTTCTCAGCGGCAGATGAAGAGAATGGGGGGTTTATCCGGTGCCCGGCGGGCCCCGTGAACCGACCACCCTGAAAGGGCAGGACGGCAGCGCTCACCGCACCTGCCGCGTGTTCAGTTCCCAGTTCCCCACCCAGCGACCACGAAGTGCCGCACGGTCCTCAGCGCCAGGCAGAGCCGCGGCCGCACGACCTCGGGCGGGGAATAAAGCCCGAGCTCCCCTGCCGGGCCAGGCCGCTCGGCTCGCCGGAGAACGGCCCTTCCCTCCCGGCGGAGGCGCGACTGCAAGTCCCGGCGCCAGCGCCGCACGGGTCCCCGGGAACCCAGCCTCCCGCGCCCCCGCGGCGCCGGCTCACCGCGACCCAGCGCCTTTCGGAGGAGCGGGGGCGGCGGGGACTCACAAGGACTCCAGGTGCTTGAGCTGCTGCAGCTGCTGCGCGTCGTGCCGCCGCCGCTTCTGCTCCCGGCGCCGCTGCAGCTCCTGCTCTGCCGGCTCCCGCGGCCGCCGCACGCCCCCGGCCCCCGCATCGTCGCGCCCCGGCCGGGACGACATCGCGGCCCGCGCTGCTGAGGTGGCCCGGCGGCGCACCTCAGGCGGCTGAGGCGGCGAAGACGGCACTTCCTCCACGCCGCGGCCAGCCGGCCCCGCAGCGCCCCCTCTCGCCGCCCGCCCGGGTAGGGCCCGCTGTCCCCGCCGAGGCCTCGTGGTCCCCGCCTCCCGTCAGGCCTCCCCGCCGCCTCCCGTGTAGGGGCCCCAAGTCCGCGCTGGGAGCTCCCGGACCCCGCCGCTAGGCCGACCCGGGTCGGAGCGCGCCCCCTGGCGGCGGCCGTGAGCGGGGCTGTGGAGGCCCGCGGGACAGCCGGGAAGCCCCGCCCCCTCGCGCGCGCCCCTCCCCTGGGAGGACCCGGGACCCGAACCGCGAGGCTTTGCAGCCCCCCTGGCTAGACACTGGCTGCTGCTACTTGGTGCTGGGATTCACCCAGCTTTGAAGAAAGCAAGACACCTCAGAGAAATTCTCTGATTTTCCAGCGCTTGGTTAAGACAGAGCCAGCCTGCAGTCTATCTATACAAGGTTTGGGCGCTGCACGGAAGGCTATAGACACTGAGCGCTTTTTATGTGCTCGTCACTGAGCTGAGCCAGTAAGAAAAGTTGATTTAATCTTTAAAAACTTACTAAGCGCTGTTATTACCCGTATGTATTACTCTTCTTTTATAAATAAAGAGGCCGAGAGAGTTAAATAACATGCCCAAGGATGCAGCAGTAGAAGTCATGGAGCCAAGCTGCGAATTGTTAAAGTGCTTAACTAGGTTGTATTTTGTAAATGCATCTGATCTGTGAAGTTCCGCTCAGTATTTTAGCTTTAACATAATGGAAGAAACCACAAAAGAAGTAAAAGTTAACAGGATAGGGAATATTCCCCTCAAATGTGGCGTTCCATATGTAATACTTAAAATATACAAGGAGGTCCTTCATATTTATTAGAAAAAATCCAAATGAACCAACACACAAAGACTATGAACAGAAACACATGTTACACTGATGTGTCCCAGAGTTTGGAAATCAGGTTTCCCTCTGAAAGGTAACTGTTGCATGAACCAATCCAGTTGTTGGGCCAATAAGTGGCCTGTAAATGTCTTGCAAGATGTTTTCATCTAGTCAAGGAGAACATAGTCTAAGGAAGATAGGATTGAGAAACAAAAAGTGTGACTTAATTGTATTACAGAAACAAGATGGTCTATAGAATCTAAAAAAGGAGAACCAGGGAAAAATATAGATGGTGTTTGTCCAGCATTGTGTGCTGAAGACACAAATTATATAAACACATGAGTATTCTGAACACTAGAGAAATATGCACCATTGAGAATGAGGCATAAATTTGACCAACCCTAGCCCCATCTTTTCTTCTTTAATTGAAGTGTAGTTGACATACAGTATTAGTTTCAGGTATACAACATAATGATTCAACATTTATATACATTAAGAAATGTTTACCTTGATATGTGTAGTTACCATCTCTCACCATGCAAAGTTACAACAATATGATTGACTATATTCCCTGTGATGCATTTTTCTTCCTTGTGACTTATTTATTTTATAGCTGGAAGTTTGTGCCTCTTAATCCCCTTCACCTATCTCACACATTTTCCCCCCTCCACCCCTGTAGCATCCACCAATTTGTTCTCTATGAAACTGTTTCTATTGCTTTGTTTTTTCTTCTAGTTTCCACATGTTAGTGAAATCATGGTATTGTCTTTTTCTGTCTGACATTGCACTTAGCATAATACCTTCTATGCCCATTCATGTTGTCAAAAATGGCAAGATTTCATTCCTTTTTATGGCTGAATAATATTTTACTTCTTTATCCATTCATCTATGGATGGACACAGGTTGTTTCCACATCTTGCTTGTAGTAAATAATACTGCAAAATTTGGCCCCATCTTAAAGGAAATACCTTTCAAGACTCGGAGCAGAACCAAGCCTCTGTGTTCTGATTCCATTCTCACCCAGCACCATCCTGAAAGTGTGTTATACCAGATCCTAATATGAGGAGAATGCTGTTTTTCTCAGATCTGAGTATTGGGGTGAGTGGAACGGTGGGTCTCCTCCTGTAAATTAGTAACTTGACATTGCAATTTGTAATCTAATATCTTATGACTTTAGTTATTGTGGCAAATGGCATTATCCAAGTCGCCTGCAATAATCTCTCTCATTTGTTTTCTACAAATGATCTTGATACTCCTCCCATAGAGAGGTGGGCTTTATTCCTCTTTCCTTGAATCTAGACCACCCTTAGTGATTTTATTGTAACCAGTAGAAAGTAATGGACAATTACTTTCATTACTAGGAAGTGATGCCTCATTATTTTTAAGATTAGATCAGAAAAGATCATATAGCTTCCACATCGTTCTCTTGAAATATTTCCTCCTAAAGCCTTCAGGAATGTAAGCTGTTCCACTGCCCTGAAGCCACCATACTGTGAGGAAGCCCAAATTAACTCATGAGGAGAAATCACATGAAGAAATGTTGAGATTCAATAAACAGAGGGATGCCTGGCCAGACTCCAGTGCCTAACCACCCCAAACCCAAGTCCGACGACTCCACAGTGCAAACCAAAGTAAATCTAAGGGTCTCAGATCAACCAGGCTGAACCAGAATTGTTCCTCCCATCCTCAAAAGGCTTTGTTGTTGACCAAGCTATGCCCCTAAAGTAAAAGAAAAGAAGGAAGAAGAAAGAAGGAAAATTTAAAAGGAAAAAAAAAACACCAGATGTTCTCCAACCAAAACCAGTGACCTTATAGCAAGCCATCAAATAATCTGAAAACCTTAGGATATACTTCTATGCAGCAACCAGGTGAGTTGGGTTTCTCTCACTTGCAATTATAAGAATCTTGACCAGCAATTCTTTCTACCTATGGGTCCTGTCCCGTGCTATAATAAAAACGCCTTTCCGCATAAAAACAAACACATTTGCTCACATTTTATTATTTTTGTAGTTATATTTATAAATTAGATTGGTGCCCAGTTTTTCTCTCTCTCCCCGTGTTTGCCAGGTTTTAGTATCGGGATAGTTTGCTTCCCAGAAAAGCTGAGAAAGCCTTGGTGATTTGCTTTCATTAGTTCAAAATTTTAATAAGTAAGAACAACAAATTCTAAGCTAAGAACTCGTTTAAGTACTCAAAAGAATTTCTTGGGGTTTCTGGATCTTTACTGTGAAGTCCTACCTAGCTTAGTCACGTGTGTGCGACCATGCGCAACCGTTGCTATTACTTTGCTATTAAGTACTAGCTCACAGTCCATCCACTAATGGCTTGGGGAACAGTCACAGTAACTTAAAACCCTCTCTGGACAGCTATCAGAGGAGTTTCAGAATACACGCCTCTCCCTTTCTCTTTAAGTATTATCCTGGAAACAAAAACAAAAAACAAAACCCCCCTGAAGAATGTTTTCAGTCTTTTTCATGTAGAATTCATTCTTGTAACTAAGTTAAAAAAACATAATAATCTAAGTTTCCCTCTCTACTCAAAGCAGCCAGAAGTAATTCGATCCGCGGCCACGTAGGAGCCTCTGGTGGCGCTAAATCTGGATAGTCTCCCGGGACAGGCGGAGGCCAGCGAGTTGGCCTGGTTGGTAAACGCTTTTCCTTTTTCAACTTTGGGCCGAAGCCCCGTCCCGAGGAGTTCACGATTTCTCCCTCGAGGACAGGTTCCCTCTGAAGCTGCCAGCCGGCTTCCCCTGGCGGGCCCGCTCGCTGGGCTGGGCTGGGCAGGGCCGGGCAGGGCCCGGGCGGCGCCGGGCGCGGCAGGCCGGCCCTGGCGCGCGGCTTCGGCTCCTCCCCTCGCTGGATGTGGCCGGGGGATGGGGGGGCGGGGGGTGAGCGAGGGGGTGGCGGCTGCCGCCCGGGGAGGGCCGGCAGTCTTTTCCACGTTTGCAAACGCCGCGGCGCGCCCAGTTCCGACCCTCGCCGCCCGAGTTCCGCACGCCCTCGCCGGCTCCGCGTCGCGCCTCGCGCCCGCCCCTCGCTGCTCTCCTCGACGCCCCTGATGGCGTTCAGGGCCCGGGGCTGGCGACCCCCGCCGCCGCCGCTGCTGCTGCTACTGCTCTGGGTGACGGGACAGGCGGCGCCGGTTGCGGGCCTGGGCCTCGACACGGAGCTGCAGATCGAGCGGCGCTTCGTGCCCGACGAGTGCCCGCGCACCGTGCGCAGCGGCGACTTCGTGCGTTACCACTACGTGGGGACATTCCCCGACGGCCAGAAGTTCGACTCCAGGTACCGGCGCCCCGCACGCCCGGCCGGGCCTCTTAGGCAGCAGCGCCAGCTCTCCCGCTTCTCTCTCTCCGGACAGGCCTTTCCCTCCCGACGGACCTCCCCCAGCTCCGCCCCGCGAACCCCGCGCTCCTCCTCCTCCTCCTCCTCCTCCTCCTCCTTCTCCCCAAAAGCCCAGCGACCCTAAACCTCTCCGCGGTGGGGTGAGCCTACCGAGCCTTACGCTCCCGTGGTCCGCCGGCCTGGGACTGGAGTTTTGGATAGGACCTGGCGCAGAGAGGCTGGAACTTCCTGTCCTTCCGGCGCATTCACACAACGTGAAATCGGTGTAAAATGGCTCCTCTGCAAATAGACCTCCACCCCAAGAGTAAATGTTGATGTCTGTCTGCCACCTCCCTTTCCTGGCCCTTAGACAGACAGGCTCGTTGAATCAGATGATGCGTCTCACTGTAGATGATGATGCTGGTGGTAATGGTGACGATGAGCTGATGATAGCAGCCGTTAACATTTATGGAGCTATTACATGTGCCAGGATAGTGCTAAGTGCCTTCTGTACAATGAACTCATTCATTTCTTACAACAGATCTTTTAGGTGGGTACCATTATTTTGCCAGTGAGGTCACTTGAGGCCACTGAGGCTAAGAAACTTGTTTAAATGGAGTCCGACTGAAAACCCTGACCGTCCAAGGTCAGGGTCTGTGCTCGAAGGTACTACCTCCCTTCATGTTTGGCAGGTCACTCAGCTTTGCCCTGGGGCCTTGAACCATGCCCAGGATTCTCTCCCTCATCTCTGTCCTGAGATCACAGTACT